GCCTGCTCCAATCAACCGACACCGGTTGGGCCTTCCTGCACTCTTCCACCTTTAAGAGCGCTCGTCTGGCAAGAGCGGCAGTCCTTCCTTTCCTGAGCTGGCTCTTGTTTAGATGATGAGAGGGAGATGCTTGACTTGCACTGTTGCAGGGTCACAGGCGTCATCTTTGTCGAGGCACCGCAAAGCGACACGATTTTGTTCCCGTGCTCGATAAATCCGAAAGGCTATTTGATACGCAAGTGTTAATATTGTGAGTTATAATCCAGGGCGGCCTTGTTGTATGAAAGATCCATAATAGCCATTTTAGCTAGCAACGGCTGAAGCCTCCAGCACCAGCGGCGTTGAAACTCACAATGGACGCTTGTCAGTGGGAGGCTTGACGCATCGAAGACGGGGAAGATGTGCATGGTCAGCAGCGAACATATTATATCCAGGCAGCGTAAGCACTTGATCAGACCAGCGTCACATCCCTCAGTCTTCCCGGTCCTCTTGCTGATTTGATTAGTAGCTAGGAGTTTTGCAATTGCAGGCGGGCGAGAGCGCTTCACTGCTCCGCAGTATTGAAATCCGTTGATTGACGTCAGCCGACAACAACATGCCTTGCAACTGCTGGGTGGTGCGACGTTCTAAAACCGTCAGCAGCGTTCATCTCCGTCAATCAGTGGATAAACTGGCAATTATATCCTAGCTCCATATGCACCCAGCCAGTTAACCCCTTGGCCTTTGCCACTCCATCTACCTTGGGGACTCTCGGCCCCGAAGCTGCATGGTAAAGGAACGAGAGACTATGAAACAGGACCATTAATATCCAATGTCAATCGGTCAAAAATTGCCTAGCCACGATAAAGGTTGTTAAGCTGTCGTCGTATCGTGTCAAAATGGTTCGTTTTGCTTGTCGACAGATGCTTGCTTATGTACTCCGTAACCGCAGTTCGACAACAGAGTAAAGGAGCATGGGTGTTAACGACGTCGTCCAGAGCCATCTATCCTCCCCATGTCAGAACTGAACATGGCATTATTTTCGTTTCCTTCCTTTGCTCGGCCTTGAGGAAAACAAAAAAAAAAGCACTCACCTCTTGTCCCCATTATGTCCATATTGAACATACTAAACGACAAATCTTTCATCCTATTATTGGCATTGACCGAACTACGAGCTGTGACGAGAGACTTGGTACATGTAAGCCATTCCTGTCCCTTCCTCTGAAGTCACAACGACCCAGGTCCTATCAGGTACTTACCTACCTAGGCAGGCAGGTAGACCACGAGACGGCGGTGTATGTATGTTTGTATCACAATGCTCCCCTCCAAGCGTCCAGGGGTTGTGCTTCCCCCATGTCCCGAGTCCGACATGCAGCCTGGCTGCATCCGTTCTCGCGTGAGAATGGGGGAAGCGTCGCACTTCTTGGTATTTCACATGGCCTCTCCGATCTGTGTGATTTTGGTTGATGGGCGTCGCCCCACCCCTGAAGTTTTTTTTTTTCTTTTCTTTTTTTTTGCTACTGACTAACTTACGTTACCGGACAATGATGGCTCTGTTTGTGGTATATTGGTGAGGTTCTCTGACATCGCCGGGCTAGGAGCGGACTCGGATGTGGCTTCCAAAGGCCTTACTTAGCTCAGGGATGTGTACGGGGCAATTAAGTTCTTGACATCCTGGGTAGTACCTAGGTATGTTATACAGTTGAACGCCAGGCATAGGTATGCAGCTTGAGATGGCGTCGTTCTCTAACCCTTGCGCGGGCTTTGTCTGACTTGCCGAGTGACTTACATTTTCGGCTCCTTTGCTACATACAGCATTAGCAGAATCCACACTGGCAGCCGCTGTTCAACGTGCATCTGGACGCCTACTTTTCCAGTCCGCACGGCCATCGGGAGGGATTTCCCAGCTGGAAAAAGAGGAGGAGACGGAAGGAGACGAAGAGGAGGGAGGAGCGGCAACAAGTCGACGGTGGAAGAAAGGGTGGGCGACGAACCAGACCCCCGCTTGGCAAGTACCACGACACGGCATTGCAGGCGCAAAGGTACATGGCGCGTTGCTTGAAGCATCAAGCAGGGGGACGTACACATATCATGTGCTCCGTACCAGCAACCACCACTAGCTGCTCTAGGACAAGGCATGGCACTAGGTGGCAGCCTGGTTCCAGTAAGTGCCTCCAAGTGCGAGCCAGACTGCTTGGCTGCTCATACCCCGTTTCCTGCTCCCTCGAGGGCTCCCTGCTCCCTGCTCCCTGCTGCTCCCTGGCGCCATCGCCGCTGTAATGACCCCGCCTAGGCTCCAGATATCTTCTTTTAGCTCCCCCAGGCGGCGCCATCTCAGCCAACCATGCGTCGTCATCCGTCTCCCTTGCACGTCGGATATCCGCCCATCCACTATCCTGCTTGTGCGTGTGCGCGTGCGTGCGCGTGCGTGCGTGTGCGCGTGCGTGCGCGTGCGTGCGTGCGTGCGTGCGTGCTACCCTGACCCTTGTGTGAGAGTCGGCTGTGCGTGGCAAAAAAAGCGAAGGAATAAAGTACATACTTGCGAAATGTACATTTTGTATGTATATACTCAAGTAAGTACCTAGGGAGGCACTTAAGTAGGTGCGGATACCCGGGAAGGGGATATATCAGTACAGAAAGGTAGGCGCAGAGGCCAGGAAAAAAGGAAAGAAAAGGCCGTTGGCAGCTGCACACTTGCGCATACTTGAGTACTTACTTAGTGCCTCGGTCACTGGGTGCTCGAGTGGTTTTGGGTACCTACTCAAGTACTTGAGGTACTTAAGTACCTAGGTACTTAAGTAGGTTCTCGGTACCTCGGACAGGCACAACGGCCGCCATGGTCACAGGTCCAGTACAGGCGCTTACTCGAGTCGAGGCCAAAAGGCCAATCAACGAACAAGGAAACAACAATTTGAAGACGGTGCACGCCCATATTTGCCCGCGGGCCCGGTGTTGGGTATTGGATATTGGGTACTATTAGATTAAGTAGGTACCTAGTACTTGCCTACCTACTTACTTAATTGGGTTCCCCGTACTGACTGGCATAAAGTACTTAAGTACCTAGGTAAGTACCCAACCTTCTGGTCCCGTACTCCGCATTCCCATGGCACTTGGCACCTGGGCTTCCAAGCTCCGTACTCTGGCTTTGCGTCGGCGCGCAGTGGCCAGTCGGTCGGCTTGCTTTCCCTGGCCGACCTTGTTCTTTTCTTTTTTCTTTCCTTCGTTCTTTCTCTCTTTCTTCCGTTCTCGGGCTCGATGAGTTCTGGTCGCGGACAGCCTTGCAGCCGTTCCCCCGTCCCCGCTCCCCGTGCCACTCGTGCAGCTCGTGCAGCGCCGGGCGCGCCCCCCATCTGTCACCTCCACCACCACCTCCATGTCCACCTGCTACCCGTCGACCCGTTGACTTGCTTAATACGACACCACCCCAGCCGGCTGCCGCTGCTCTGTACCCGCCCTCCAGTCCTCCTCCGTCCTCCTCCACCTCCACCACCACCACCACCACCAGGTCGACCACCCACTTGCAAACACCACCACCAAGTCGACCACCTTCACACGGTCGCGCGCCCACTCCCGGCCACGGCCACGGCCCCAGCAATCACTTGTTTCTCGTGCGCAGCGCAGCGCGGTGCCGAGTGCTCACTTTCCATCGAGGATTCCATCAATCAGTTCGTCGGTCGCGCGCGCATCTGGAAAACGCCTGCACTTCCGGTCCACACGTCGCCTGACCGAGTCGCGCTCATCGCCCTCGAGTGTTTTTTTTGCGACTGCGCCTGCGGGAAGCCGTCGATTTGTCGCGGTGCCGGTTGCGAGCCAAGACGACGACGTAACAGCTTTGGCACTTATTGCTGGTCCAAGCCGTCTTTCTGCTGCGCACCCGCCGTGATCGCCGCCGCTGTCGCACAAGCGCTCTCTTGCGCCTGCGGCCCTGTTCAAAGGTAAACCATCCTGAGCTGTTTTTTTTTTTTTTTTTTTTTTTTTTTTTTTTTTTTTTTTTTTTTTTTTATTTTATTTTGTTTAATTTTTTTTTTTTTGGTTGGTGTGACGAAATCTCGACTGTTTCGTCGCGGGTTTTTTTGCGGCCGCGTGTGAGCCTTTGACAGGAGCCCTCCTCTTCGTCTGACAAGGCGCCCGTGTCTCGTCTGGTGCGCGCCGTCGTCTTTTTTTTCTCCTCTCTCTCTCCAGGCCCAGGTCCCGGTCTAGTTCCAGTCGCACTTTGGTTGCGGCGCAGTTGCAGCTGCAGTCGCAGTCGCGCAGTCGCAGTCGCAGTCGCAGTCGCAGTCGCATTCGCAGTCGCAGTCGCAGTCGCGCGCGCCTCGTGCAAGGCCGGCCGGCCGCTCACAGTCCAGTCCGTCTGAGCCTTCAACGGGTGCGTGTCCCTCCCTCTGTACGGAGTACATATCATACCAGGCCAGCACCCCGAACTCGGTGCTCTCTCTTCAGCCAGCTGCGATTCGCACGCATCGCTCTTGCCTTGCCTGGCACCCTCGACATCTGGACGGCATATCTGTATATCCGGCTTCCTCCCCTCCCTCCGTCTCTGCACGGCAACAGCCTCCCTTTCCTCCACTGGTGCTCTGAGCTCTGAGCTCTGAGCTCTGAGCTGCTACGCTATGGGCTTCAGCCCCGTCACTATTGCTCCCCGTCCTGCGTCAGAGCAGGTACTTGGCCAAAGTACCTAAGTCCCTCCCCCCGGGCGGCGCACTGCCAGGTACCCCTCCCGCTGTCGAACCTGCGGCGGGTACCACGCGAGACTTGGACGCTCCTCGAGGTCAATCAATGCTCCCGCATCCGCACCCGCGCCCACCACGCCCACGCCCACGCCCACGCCCACTCCCACTCCCACGCCCCGCCGGCCACCTGCACGCTTAACGTTGTTCTGCCGCACCTCCTCCACGCCTGAGCTCCTCCCCAGGTCCAACTGCTTCACGACACGTCGCCGGCATCGTCATCGGCATCGTCACCGTCACCGTCACCGTCCTTGCCGCTGTCCTCGATGCTATTGCTGGTCTGGCCCGTCTGTCATGTACTCGCCACAGCCAAACAGCGCTGAAAGTGCCACCATCAATCCTGCCGCTCTGAGTTCTCCCGGTGAGTCGTTCCTCCTTGAAATCACTTCTTCGGCCATGCCCGTAAGTCGCGATGCCGTTTTGAGCTTCGTTGGACCTCACCGGCTGGCCCAAGTCACACTCTGACTGGCCGCGGCCCAAGCCGTCGCAGTGTGCTTCTCCTTGTGCCTCTCCCGAGACTGCTGAGCTTGCGCGCTCGCGACGCGGACTCGTGTGCTCATCTTGACCTGTGACGTTGGCGCGACTTTGACCTGTGCCTTTTTATATCTGTGTGCTGTTCCGTGTCGCGTTGCTGACTATTGTTGCTCGACAGTCCTATCTAACCCGCCGCTTCGCGGCCTCAAGCGGAGCCGGTCCTCGGATTCTCACAACATCCTGCAGCCCGGCGATGACGGTATGTCGTGGCAGGGTTTCACCCAACTTGACATTTTGCCCCGTCCCTCCTGCGGTACAGTGCGCGCGCATGGCCGCAGTGCGCCACAATCCATTCTCCGAAGCTCAACACACGGCCGTGTTACGATGGGCAAAAAAAAAAAAGAAGAAGAAAAAGAAAAAACCATGACAAGAACAAAAAGGGGTCCACCGTGGATGGAAGTGACTGTACGACGAGCGATGACGAAATACTCGACATGATGTGCTTTGCGTTTGCGATGTTGTTGCTTGTTTTTGATATATACACATACTAATTTTTGGTGCTTTGAGGCACGCTACAAACGACGGACAAGAAGAGGGCTAACCATCCATGTTGATACATCACAGCCAGTTTCCTGCCTCATACAAAGCGAATCAAGCAAATGAAGCCATCCGACGCGACTGGGCAGCCGCCCGCCCCCGTGGTTGCGCAGACTGGCGCGCCGCCGCAGACGCCCCAATCTCAAAGCTCTACGTTGCCGAGCCAGACGACTCCCGCCTATGGCGCGACTCCCGCCGGAGCGCCTCCCAAGACGACGCCGACCAAGTCCACGGTCAAGGCCCTGCCAACCGTCAGAGACCATACTACTGACCAATTGAATCAAGCTGGCGATGAGTATCTGCCAAGAGAGATTGATGAGTTTGGTGAGAAAAAGGTCATGTCCAACGGCCAGCTCCTGGGCAACCGAACCTACCGGTGCCGGACCTTCCTGGTGCCCAACCGAGGCGACAAGCTCTTCATGCTTGCGACGGAGTGTGCCAGAGTGCTGGGATACCGTGATTCTTACCTGTTGTTTAACAAGAACAGGTCTCTGTTCAAAATCATTGCCAGCCAGGCCGAAAAGGATGATCTTGTCCAGCAGGAGATTTTGCCCTTTTCCTATCGTTCAAGACAAATTGCCATTGTGACTGCCAGATCCATGTTCAGACAGTTTGGGAGCCGCGTTATTGAGAATGGCCGCCGCGTCCGGGATGACTACTGGGAAACCAAGGCCCGCAAGCAAGGATTCACCGAGGCGGATCTAGCCGGAGAGAAGAGACCGGGTGCCGCCAAGGCCCGCGAGGCGGCCGAAGCCCAAAACAACCTCCTGATGAGCGGTCCTCACACCGAGATCGTCTACAACAACACCCCCGGACCCTATTCCGGTGCTCCGCCAACACATCTGGTCCAAACAGGTATGATGGGAGCGCCACCTGGGAACGTTGCAAGAATGCCTGGATTAACAGTCGGGCCAGAGCTGGGCGACACTCGCCCTAGGGACTTCAGCAATATCATCAAAGGCGGTCCCCGCCAGGAGATTACCGGCCCGGCTTATCAGGACCAGACCAGGCCATCACCGCTGAGTGAGATCCATTCGCAGGCGCATCACGCCGCCGAGTTCAACCGATCCGTCAACCAGCAGCGTGACATGCGCGGTGAATATTTGCAGGGCGTCTGGCGCCGTCCCCATGAGCAGCCCGTTACCTCGTCGCTGAATCCCTCTGCTGGCGCCACCGACACCGCAGCCACGACTACCCGACCCTCGAGCTCGCCGCATACCGTTGCTGCTGCCGGCGTTTCGCAACCCGTCGTGTCGTCCCAAAGCCCTCAGATGATGATGACTGCGGCTCCATACTCGCAGTCGATCCACGCTCAAAATCCACTTGGTCAGAACCCCCTAACCTCTCCAGTCACCCCCGTGTCCCTCGAGGATGCGTTGATTGATTGATGGACAAGGCCCCCCCTCAAGGTCCCTTTGGGGAACAGTCAAGGCTAACATGAGTGTCTTCCAGGATCTACAGGCGGCGGCAGCATGAGCCAAGGCACGCCGGGCGGCTATAATTATCAGCCCAACCAGGCTTTGTGGTCACAGAATACACAAACTCCGCACCACAGCTATGGCAGCTATACCACGCAATCTCAGGCGCCTCACCCATCCCAGTCCCCAGCCTCGCACCTACGCCAGCCAAGTGCAGGGCAACTGCAATCGAACATGCCGTTCCCGGGCATGGGTAGTATGCAATACAGTACAAGCCAGGGCATGTATCCGGCGGACCAAACCCCACGACAATACATGGCTCAAAGCACACCCGGAGCGCCACAAGTCTCTCAGTCTTGGTCAGGCCAGCACTCGCCGCCTCCCCAGTGGTGGACGCCGCAGCAGCAGCCTCAGTAGAAGGCAGCCCTTCTGGCTTGGTTTTCTTTTTGGCATGTCCATTTTGCCAGCGGATGCTTGATACGTGACGACCTGGACGGCCCTGTTTCCCGTCTGTCTTTGTTGGCTGTGGAGCACGTCTTGTGCCGCCTTCACGTGCTTGTTGCTTTTTGCTTTGTCTAGTCTTGCCCTCTCACCCCCCTTTTTTCGAACATATATATTGGACTGTACTCCCGCAGCATTCCTGGATACCCAAGCATACAGACCAGTCAGGGAGGCTATGTGCTTTGGGGCTTGTGGCCCTTCGAAATTGTGTACAGCATTTGGCCGGGATTGGATAGAGGAGTCGGGCGGCTGGAACACTTACTTCTCCTATCTTGTTCTTTCATCTTATTTCTCCCTCTTCATACTTGTCCTTATTTCAGAATTGGTTCGACCAAGCTTCGATACCTCACGACAATATCTCAGCGCGACGTTCATTCATGGCCACCGTTTTGTTTTGTTTTGGTCCGTCTGGCTTTTCCTGCTTTAACCACCTGGACCTTTTGCTGAGACAAAGGACGCCAGCCGGCTGTGTCGCGTAATCATTTATCATACCTGGATGAATTACACCGTCGCTCTGGTGCGAGGCGGCGCAACTGGTTTCTGCACACTTTTTTTTTTCGGGCAACAATCTGGGTATGAACCCGGTGCCTCAACCAGATGATTGTGGTCCGGCCTCGGGACTCACGCTTTGTCGTGGAAATTTTTATTTTTATTTTTATTTTTTTTTCGTTTGCACCACCTTGGCCAGAGTTGATTTCAAGCGATGATGCCACTCTCGTGATCATGGAGTGATGCCCGTGTGAAACTGAGCAGGATGGCCTTTCAGATACGGATGAATGGATGACGGTTTCTGGTCCAGCGATGTTATCACGCACAGTTGCAAGTTCCTCATTTTATTTTGCCAACATTTCGTTTTATAACCCCCATCCCCCCCCTGGTTTCCTTTTCCCGTTGCCCTCTTCTCTCTTTCCTCTTGACTCGTTTTAGCATCTGTTTTTACTGGACTTTCGCCGGCTGGTTATTGGAATTATGGTCTGGTGGTGTAATACCCAAGATGGATGGACTTTGGATCACTGTCGGATTTATCTCCTCGTGTTGGTTTTTATTTATTCTCTCCGTCTCTTTTTTTTTTTCCTGTTCAACGGCTTGTGTCCTTCGTCTTGTCCGTACTTTTATGTGCATCAGATGGAGCGTGGGAATTGCCTGGTTAGGCGAATGGATATTCTTGTTTTTTTTTTGTTCTCGTTTCTTCATCTGCTCCGTTGACGTACTTGCTTCGCTATGTATATGGAATTGTAGGGAAGTCTGCTTTTTAAAATCTTCATGCTCATACGTTGCCAACATGGCCGTCATGTCTCGTTGACGCCTGTCCTTTGACACCTGTGGAAAACTTGACCATGGTGCCACAAGTATTTTGTCGTGATTGATTTCAACGACGGAGTCTCGACGGGCGTGGTGAATTTGCAAACCCGAGCCAGAAATGCACTTCCGGTCTGTATATGGCGTCATTCAGCCTAGTCACTGTCGTCTCCGTCCAAGGCCTCGTCGCGGTCCCCATCCGGCCTTGTGGTCCGCTCTTCCAACTCGTCCTGCGCGTCGTGGCTGCTCTGATTCCCCTCCTCGTCCTCGCCCTCGCCCTCGTCCTCATCCTCTTCCCCCTCTTCCTCTCCTTGTTCTTCCTCGTCGTCGTCGTCGTCGTCGTCGTCGTTGTCTTCTTCTTCTTCATCTTGGCGCTCGTCCTCCTCGTCTCCGCGCACCTCGGCCTCTTCCTCCGTCCCGGCGTCCCGCTCCGCCTCCGCCTCCGCCCCCCCCAGCTCGACGCGCGGCTTCTTCGCGCGCGGCGCACCGGCCGCCGCCCCCGCCATCTCCGTGTCGTCGTGCCTAGCGCGCGCTTTCTGGCGGTAGCTCGTGCGCTTCTCCGTCTGCATCTGGCTGAACTCTGGGCGTGCGAAAGACGTCGGTCAGCGTTGCCGCTCCTCTATCCCTGCAAGGCGGGAAGGCAGGCAGGCAAGCAGGCAGGCGGGCGGGTTACCTACTGGCGAACTCGGCCTCGAGGGGCTCCTTGAGAAACGAAAACTCAATCTCGTCGAGGGCCTTGAAGACGTCTGCCGGCGCGACCGTCTTCTTGTTTGCGTTGACGGTGTTCTCGTTGGCGCTGCTCGTTCTCGTCAGCTTGCTTGCTCTCTCGGCCTTTGCTGCGCGGGTGCGGGCGCCGCGTACTGCGAGGCGAGGTAGTTTATGAACATGGTGGCGCTTTTGCTCATGGCCAGCACGGCGTTGGCCTGGATCTGCGTGTTGGGGGCGAGCACGCCCTTTGCGAGCCGGGTGATGATGGACCGGGGGAGCGTGAGGTCCTGCGTTTGCGTTGGTCGGGGGGTTAGCCGGCGGTTGCTACTTCCGGATGGGCTTTGGGGGTGCAAGGGGACGACGTGCTTCGATTGAGGGGGCGTCTTTTTCTTTTTCTCTTTCTCTTTCCCTCTCTCTCTCTCTCTCTCTTTCCCTGTCCTTGGTGGTTTTTTCTGGCGCCGACGTAGATGTTTGCGATTCGTCTGCCGGGGCGGAGGGTAGGATGCTGTCGTCGGGGATGGGGACGTCGCTTTTGCGAGGGTGGTCTGATTTTCGGGCCGGCATGGCCGTGTGCGTGTGCGTGGTGCGCAGTGGTCGAGTTGAAGATGAAGAGGGTGGTGTCGTGTCTGGCGGCGGATTCGCGGTGACGGAGAGCGTCCGTCGGACCGAGCCTGAGTCAGTCTAGGCGGTACGGGGGAGCGTCCGGCCACGTCTGCGTCTGCGTCTGCGTCTCTGCGAGTGACGAGTGACGAGGAAGCCGGGCAATTCGTCTCGTCGCAGAGGGTACTGAAAGGATGAACAGGTCCAACGCCGCGGGACTGGCTGGTCGACATCGAACGTCGTGGAGACGCGCGACTCGAACGCGTGCCCCACTATTTTCTATTCCTACTTGGCAGAGTCGAGTCGACACAGACACAGCCTTTGGCAGTATTTCATGTCGGGCGTCGACATCGCTTATTCTTCTTCTCGGCCTGTTACACGCTTGGCATCAGACTGGACACCAAAGCACGCCGCCATCGGGGGGTTCCATGGTCCTGTCATGTCAACTCATTTTCGTCAATCTATTTCACATTCATCTGCTGCCGGAGCGCCGTACTCCAGGTCACATCGAGTCACTGTCCGTCCATCCCTCCATCTGACACACGTATTCTCATGGTCGCTGTTCGTCATGTGAAGGACTCGCTTTGGGTATATCCATCCATGTCCTTTCATTATGTACAACGTGGCTTGAAGAAAAAGTCCATTGACTCGGCCGTCACACAAGAGTTCGCGCCAAGTGACGGTCAGTTGAACGAAAGAATCAAGTCTCCAAGCTTGAAAACTTCCATGTCATTGCCGACAATCCTCGCATGCCTGGCTCGAGAAAACCTAGGCAGATTCAAACACGGGCCGCTTGGCTTCCACCGACAATAATACTTCATCCACATTGACACGCGAAATTGCCGGACATGCTCGTATCATTCATTGTCATTCATCATTGCCCGTCGTGAAACAACACTTATGGATGCCTCTCCACCCAGCTCAACACACTCGTGATTCAACAGGCAAGGCAGTTGAAACTCGGGACAGCGCGTTTCAAGTCGGATCGGCATTCATGCCACGCAGTTTGTCATCGCTTATCTGACAAGCCACGAAAGAAAAGTCCATCTTTTTCTGAATGTTGCAGCAGCACGTCGCATGTCGCTCAGCCGATCGCTCGCCCAATTTCCGACTTGTGAATCAAGGGACGAGGCGAGAGGCCCCCGAAGAAGACATCGTCCTCGACTGGCGATTGCGGAGGAGTCGCCCGGAATGAATATACGCCATCCGTCTCTCGGTGACCCGAAGGCAATGTACAGAGATATGTGTCGGCAGATCGTCGAGGTGGCCGTTGGTGATCTAGACTTTGGCTGTGCCAGGGCTCACGGGGTGTCACAGTCGCCCGCGTGCTCTTAGATCGGCCGTGTCGAGGAGTTGTAAGCGGTGGTGATTTGGCTAGTTTTTTCGAAGGGTAACGCTTTGGGCAGGGAATAAATGCATCCTCTCCTTGAATGGTGTCATCGGTGAGGCCAGGCCTAGAATTCGGCGCCCTGGCAAGAACAGGGACTTCAGGCAGCTCAAAGCTCCATTTGCCAGACAAAGACATCACCATCGGCCGGTCTTCCGGCATGCGTGAAGAGTGCTGTGACGAACTCTTATAGACAATCATGCTAGTCGTCTTTTGGACAGATCCAACCGACGTGTGTGGCCGATGGGTGCGGTGACTGCTTGGACTCGCTTGGTCTTTCTGATATTGCTCTGGGACACTAAGTTTTTCACTCCCCTTTCTGTCCATCTTCCACGACTCTATTTCCTCGTCGTCGATAGGTGTGATGCCTCGGTTGAATAATCGAGCCCTACGTCGACGGGCTCGGTAGCACAGAACAGCGGTAAAGGCCGCTACAATGACCGAGGGGATTGTTGTCGCCAGAATAATGATGAGGCTCTCAGTTGAAAGTTTGTCCCCCATTTTGCCTCGTGACGTACGGCTGTAGTGGTAAGTCGGTTATTGGAAACAAGCTCCTATCCGTAGCGAAAAGCTATTTTGCAACAATGTAGGCCCAACCCAACCCACTGCGACAACGTGGCCATGGATGGAATGCGCCCTGCCCTTTTCTGTGGTGACAAGAAAAGGGAAGCAGGGAAGAAGGTAGGGTTCTGATAACCCGAGGCCCTCGTTTGAAAGTAAACGGCTGACAATGTTATGTGTTGGACAAGAAGCTTATGTAGATATACATGTAATCTGCTATCAGCCACAGAGGCGGTAAGATGAGACAGCTCGTGGTAGCTTTGTATATAAATCACAATATGGAGGAGGTATCGAGACCTGGCGATGGAGTGGTCAGAAAGACATAATCAACACGAAGAAAGTGCTCAAATATAACGAAAGAATCTACATAACCAAGACTCTTCATTGTCACGGCCCAGCCGCAGAGAAAAGACTTACAACATGTGCTCGATGAAAATGTAGCTTGATAGGCTGCTCCTCACCAAAAGGAGTCTGACAGATGAACTAATGAGAAAGTATTGAGTAATGTGACCAGGCAAAGATGCCCTGCAACAGCAGGTTAGTATGGCAGTTCGGAAGAGCAAGAGGGCGAGATCGAGATACTATATATGGTGCCCCGAACCAGTTGCACCACCGCCGCACGCTCGTGGTAGACTGGTAGTGCTACTACTGGCAGTAGATGTCCGTGTGGGCGACGGACGGGAACCAGGATGCTCCTCAGGGTGGGTGGAGGAGGGCGTGGACTGGGGTGGTTCCAAGACAGGGGCGTGGATGAGCTGGCGGAGGGTGTTGAAGTTGAAGCATCACAAGCGAACTGCACTGGGGGAGGCGGAAACGCAAGCAAAGGCTCCGCGACGGTTGGTGCCGTTAGATTTCCGTACGCCCCAACGATGCCAACACCACAATGGATCTTTCACACGAAAACCACAAACGACTCGCTCCAAGGCTATGATAGATGATGCTTTTGTTTCTTTGTCTTGGTCGTATTTGCTCTCTTTGCTTCAAAGGCAAACAATCCCTCGCCTTGGTGTAACAGACAAACTAGAGCCATTCTCTCGCTACCAAGGAGGAGCGGTGGCAGCGTTTGTGGACAGCTTCTGGCATTGGGAGAAGCTCAAAAGATGCTAGTCAAAGAAGAGGCTGCGGCTGCACCAGCGCACAGTGTCAATTTTCGTAGCCACGAATTTCATGGAGCATGGGTAGCTTACATGCTCAGCTTTCGGCCTTGGCCTTCGAGCATGATAGTCAGGGACAACGGTGGTATTCCGTCAGGTCCAATTCCAGCCCTGGGCCAATGCAGCATTGTACATGTCTGGTGCGAAATAAGTTACAGTTTCGGGGCGGAAGTCGTGGCGCGGCAACAGGGAGCTTATGGTCCAATCGTTCTTGGCTGAACCAAATCGTCGCCGAACAGCTCGCCCAGCTCGCTCGCATGGTCTCGATGATATGTTGTGGCCAGGGGGCTGGAGCCAGATATCGAGTGGTGAGCTGCAATCTCGAGGACTGGAGCTTGACAGCACATGGCGCTGCATCGCATACAAGTTAGTACCAAGTAACTATCTACCGCATGCGTTTGGGCAGGGCAGTGCTTCCTTCGTACCTGATGGGCTCGCCATCCGAGACGTCGACACTAACACAATATCTATCCCCTCGTGCCGTCTCCTTTGGCCTGGATACCCCAGGCAGAGGACTCTTGAGTCAGGTCATGTTTCGAATAAATGCACGAGGCTGGGGCACAAATGCGGAGACTGCAAGCTGCAGCTTGTTGCGGTTGTGGTTGTGGTTGTGGTTGTGGTTGTGCGTTTGCACGCGCTGCCAGACCATTGACAGCCTGCACAAAAGCGCGGGAGGTGCTGCACGACCAGCCGATCAATGTGCAGGTGCCATGCTCAAACCTGCCCGGCGCCCACGCTGTGTCCAGTCCAGCGCTCCATACCACCCAATCGGCCACCCTCGCCATCTTACTCATTACTCCGCTCCGTCCATCTCCGTTCGCATTGGCAGCAGCAACAGTGCAAGAAAGACATGTGCTCTGGTTCTCTTATTTCTCCGTCGTCTGTGTGATACGAGACTCCCGAGTCCCAGCAACCCCATTATTGAGCAAAGTCTCTCGTCCAGGTCACGAGAGGCCAGCCCACCCATCCACACCCTGCGAAACTCGAGACACCTCGACACCCTCCCTTCTTTGTTAGTTTCTCCCATCAGAGTCCACTATGACACCATCAAGTTAACCTAGTTAGCCACCTTGTGCTAGCCTGGGGACGGTCTATTCCAAGTTATCAGCCTCACCAGGCACGCCGCGCAAACGCCATAACGAGAATGCAGATGACCCGACCATTGCTCGCCTTCCTGACCTGACCTGACCATTGTAGTTGACCTGACCTGACCTTTGCTATAGGGCGCCTACTACTTTCTAATTGGCTAGAAGTTAAATTGCACCTACAGGGACTACTATTAGTAATTAAGAAATATATATAGAGGGTAGGGTTTTTTCCCCTATTAATACCTAGCAAGATTCCCTCCTAAATATATTATAAATTTAACTAGAATTAAATCTTAATTTAATTTAATTTAGTCCTCTAACCTTACTATACTCTTCTTTCTCTATTAACTATTATAATAAATATCCTAGTTAGCTTGCCTAGAACTAAGAATATTAATAATAATTATAAACTCCTAGATCTACCTACTATTTATAATAAATTTATCTCTAATAGTAGAGATATTAATTCTATGCTTTTATAGAATATTTAAGCACTAAAAGATATTCTAGCTTCTAAGTATATACTATTTAATAAGGTAAGTTAAAACAATAAATATATTTTAATTATTATACTAACCTTTTTTATATAAGTTAAATATCTAGAAGCACCTCTATTACTATTAGTAAATCCCTTATTAAATAACTAAATTTAAATTCTAACTAATATATTAAGTATTTATTAAGTTTTCTCTACTGCTTTTATTTCTAAAATGCTATAAACTTTAATAAATAGTATTAAATATATTATTCTAATAAAAGCATTAAAGAAAGAAGATATTAAATAGCCTTAGAAAAGTATTTAATATAGTATTAAAAGAAGCTTTCCTGCTAAGATAATAACTTTAGTAGCATTAAGAAGTATTCTAGTATTTTAATATACTTTTAAGTATACTAGTAG